TGTTGGTGGTGGGATCTATTTTTGGACTGTGTTACCAGGAGCTGGGGGAAAGCAGACCCCACCCCCAGACCCTTTCCAACACTGGGAGCTTTCTGATGTGCGCACCCAGGTCCCAAACGGGGGAATGGGACAGGAGGATCCCATTTCCACAGCCTTCTCTGTGCTGAGGGCTGACACCGACATCCCCCTGGGAGCAGAGACCTCCCTGCCGCGGCGGGCTCTGATCTGCCTGGGGACAATGCAGCTGCTGTCCTCCCTTTGCCACCTGCCTGGGGGCAGAGGGAAGAGACCGTGTGAACACAGGGCTTCCCGGTTCTGTGACCCACGTTTTGAGCTCACGCTTTCTTCAGGGCAGCATTGCCACCACGCACCCCATGGCACTCGGAGCGGTGCAGCAGCGGGAGCTTCTCGCTGGATATGCAGGGCCTGAAGCTGAAGTCTGGGGTCTGGGAGGGGTGAGAAGAGATGCAGGAGCTGTGCTCGGGAGGGGCATACTGAGGCTGGGTGGCCTGGAGAGGGGCAAAGGGTCCCTGTGGGTAGCATACAGACCCACCAAGTGCTGGGGACCTGAGAGTCTCGTCAGGTTTGTGCTGTCTGCTACATCTGTATTCCCAGGCGATTTTTGTTTTGAATACTGCAAGGACTCGCTGGAGGTGTGGAGTGAGTAGTGTTACGGCACAGTGTGGTAGGGTGGTTTGGGTTGGAAGGGACCTTTAAGGACCATCTGGCCCAACCCCCTGCCATGAGGTTTCACTAGGTCAGGTTGCTGAAAGCCCTGACCTTGAACACTTCCAGCGATGGGGCATCCACAGCTTCTCTGGGCAACCTGCTCCAGTGTCTCACCACCCTCATCACAAAAGAATTCTTCCTTATGTCCCATCTACATCTGCCCTCTTTCCATTTGTAACCGTTGCCCCTTGTCCTGTCACTGCAGGCCCTGGTAAAAACTCTCTCCATCTTTATGAGAAGCCTCCTTTATATATCGAAAAGCCACAAGAAGGTCTTTTACTGTTGCAATTGTCCTCCCAGGAGGTGCACCAGGCTGCAGGGCATTCGCCATTCAGGTGAAGCTGGAACACGGGAAACGCGCAGCTTCCAGCCCCGAGCAGCCCGCGGGTGCCCCGCAGTAACCGTGTGTGCCTTCTGCGGGAGCAGGGTTTTCAAAGGTGTGGGGGGTTGTTTGTTTTGCTGAGTGAACTTGTGGAGGGGACACGCTGCGGGGGGAGCTGACAGCACTGCATCTTGCCACGTCCCCAGCTTTGGGAGGGCTGGCCTGTCGCCGGCAAGGAGACGGCCGGGTCTGTCCGCTGCTGGGACCCACCTGCCCTCGCTCTCTGCCTTCTCCCCGTGCTGGCGTGGCCCGGTGGCCGTGGCGTTGTGCGGGGCACCCTTGGGTGCGGCTGGCAGCGGCCGCCGGCCGGGCTGGGCTGCAGGCGCCGTGCTGCAGGCAGGTTGTTATTAGGAGTGGTGCATTGCAGGAGGGAGCAGGGAGGAAGGAGCCAGGCAGGAGGCGAGCGGCAGACAGGTTCGTCGTGGATGGGTGTGCAGATGCCTCACTCGCAGGCCAAATCGCTGTTGCCTCCTGCCTTTAAGTCAGTGTTTATCTGATCTGTGCTCATCTTCCGTAGCACTAGTGTGAAGTGAATCCTTCCAAGGATTTGCAGCTATGCTGTACTTCCCCAGTAAGTCCGGGCTACGTAGAGATCCGGAGGGAGGCGGGGACCGAAACAGAGAGGAAGCGCTGTGCTAAGAAAGATGCTGAAGATTTTTTTCTGGTGGTGGAAGGTGTTTTACTCCCTGCGGAGGGAGGCCTTGTTTGAACAGTTCCCATATAAGGGCAATTCTACCTTTTCACTTTCTCCTTCCCTCTCTCTTTGTCTCGCTCTGCCCCCAAAGCGATAGGAACCCCCTTTGACTCCCCTTCTGTAGCTGCGGTATGGAGCCAATGCTGACACGAAGACTGCACACTTTGTTCTTGTTTGAGTAAGGAGCAGCGTCACCAGCCTTAAGAGCTGAGAAATTCATAAGCCGGGACTCTCCCACGTCGTCAGACTGTCCTGATACCCCGAGATAACAAGTGTGAGGGCTTTTCGTACGCTTTCCAGTCTCGTAGACCTTAGGATCTATCTTTCAAACTTAGTGTGAGTAAGCGAGAGGAGAGATTTTTCACATCCTTGTGCAGGGTCGCAATGTCTGTGTTGGTGCTTGCAAGCATTAAATAGAAACCGGAGAGCACAGCACCAAGCAGGGCCCAGCTCCAATTGCTCTCCCAGAGAAATCCTGCTTCCTCGGAGAAATCTGGCTCTCCCAGAAGAGCCAGGAGCCGGGTAAGAATGCAACAGCCCTGCCCCATGCCGCACCGCAGTGCGTGCCAACCCGTCTGCTCTATGGGATAGTCATTTAGCAAAGAGTGGTGCAGCCTGGTGGCCTCCCAACAGACCGTGGACTGGGCCAACACCGCAGTGTGGCCCAAGATGATGATCTCATGCAGCAAAATATAATACAGTAATTGCTAGGCGATGTGTCTTTGTATAGAAGTGCCGGGCACCTTGCAGCTCAGCCTTTTGCAAAGCTGCAGAGCCTAATATAGTACCCACCAGCCAACCCAGCATAAACCGGGATGATCCCTCCTGCTTCCTTGTAGGATGAAACGAAGTTCTTCCATCCAACCTGTTGTGCAGCAGTACAGCCATGGAGATGTGTCCCTGCCCGGGTAGCGTGGCCGGGTGCGGGGCAGCCCTCTCTCTGCGTCGGTACGGGCAGAAGAGCAGCCCTTCGCGCTGGCGCACATCATGGCCGCTCACGCTGTAACATGGTTTGGCATTGGGTTGGGTTTCCTGCTTCTGGGCAGCCTGAACGGCAATGCTGCAGACACAGAAATGCAGTTGCAAATGTGGTGCAGATAGGGGCAACTCTGCGATAGCTGCCAGCCCCTTACTGAGTCTTGGAGCTGAATCTGACGTGACCCCAAGGGCCTCAGGGATGGGTGGGGAGGCTGGTGGGCTGCGTTGAGCTGTGGGCTGGCGCCAGGCAGCTGCCACACAGAGCCTGCGGTTGGTGTCCCCGGCTCCCCCTGTCACGGGGCCGGCCCGCCCA